AAATAAGCTTTTCAGTATTAGCTGAAGGACCCTTCGCCTCCTAAAAGACCATGTGAATAATGTCCTGCTTACATTTATCTAGGTACATTTAATGAGTTTCCCCCGTTATCTTCATATGGCCAGGCTTTCACATTTTTAACGCTATCCTTTTCCTTGCAATACTGACTTTAACCTTCCCATCGAGTCACAATCATTTTTTGCCCCACAGCCTTAATTAGGCTTTTTCTGAATTATAATACAAAGCTTACTCAAATCTTTAAGACAGCATTAGTGGAATAGCTTCTGGGTTGTTAGTGGGCATGAATATCTTGCTTGCTTGATAGCTCCCTGTTCTGAAGTTCAGTGCTTGTATAATAGATTGATTTGGATAGTTCTCTTGTGGTACAAAATTAAGATAGTGATCATTCTTTCCTCCTCTACCACTCCAACCTCCTAGATCCAGTGCGTGGCTCAAGCCCATTTCCAGAACAGTTCCTTCTCACACTGGATACAGAATTATTTGAAACAGTCATTTGTTGCATCTAAAGCATTTATCTTCTTATAACGTCCTGATAAGAAATTGACTAAACCTATATGGGGGTAGTTAAATCTCTCACTTTATTGCCACAAAACCTTCAGCTTCTCTAATCTCATTTAATAGTTTCTCATTACAATCATCATCTGATTTAAGAGCTATTAATACAGGACACTATTATTTTATTAGAAAGAATTTCCATTCACAAGGTTTTGCATGGCAAACTGCTTTCCCCCTACGAGATTTTCATGCTATCTCTTCTGAAAAGTGCCACTCCCCTGCCTGTACGTCTAATCATTCCAGCAAAGCTTGCAGCAGATTAACATCATACACCAGTGATTATTATCCTTCCATCAGGCTTTCAACATCTAATATAGAGCAGCTGTCATTCAACTATGAGCATTTTTGTTTGCTCATCTTATCTTTCAGGCTTCAGATAAAAGTACATATAAGGCTTGCTCCAGCTCTGCTTTTCTATATTTCACATACCAGTTAACTTTTAAGTCATATATTCAGTTTAATGCTTTCAAAGAATTACAATAGGAGACTCCTTTGATACCACTGTTGCCAAAAGGGTTTTCACAGGTTTTCTTCACTGATCTGCAACCACAAGTATAATCCTGATAAATCTCAAACACTTGATATTTCTTAAATTTCTTTCTCTTTCAATTCTCTAACCTGCCTTCATATCAATCCTTCTTTTTCTCTTTAAAAAGAAAAGTTATCAGAAAACCAAAGATCATTCATGAAAAGTATTCACATTTGTCGCATTATTTTCAGAACTTCAATTATTTTCTCTTTCTTCTTGCCCCCTGCCAGCCAGGGAGAGAGCCATGGAGCATACTTCTACATTGCCTTTAAGGCAGTGATTTCACCACTTACTTTTATTCTTTCAGCTGCTGACACAAAGCCAATTAATTATTTGAGGTTTCCAGAATCTTTTGTTTATTGCTTGGGGCATCTCACACTTAACTCTCATGTTTTCTTACATAAATTTTAAATGTATGTAATGTTTCAGTTACAATTAAATCTTTTCAAGTATTCATACTGCGAATATTCCATCCACACACTCATATTTCCAGATTCCAAGCTAATATTCTTCTCCCGCATTTTCTGTGTATCAGTAAATCTATATGGCTTCCTGAAAAATGAGTTGGTTTTCCATTATTCCCTTGCCTGCTTCTCTTATGTATATAATCTTAGATTTCTTTAAGATTATGAATTTATTCTGACAAGAATGCTGAGACAGCAAGTAAATTACACTTTGTCTTTACTAAGTTACTACAAGAATACCATCAGCAGCTGATGATTTCATATTTCTCATTGTTCCAGCTCCAAGTTTAAATTTTTATAAAACACATTACTTTCACAAAAGGTTCAATGTCTGCAAAGTGGCTAAACCAGCTTTCTAATAATAGAAGAATGAAGAGAAAATACCCTATACCTCTCATAGCCTTCATGGACCCATCATTACCACCACCTCAATCATTATTTTTATTAAACAAGCAGCACAGTGAAAACATTTCCCCTCATAAGTCACCAAGACTGTTATCAGCAAGTCAAAGAAGTGATTATTTCCCCTATTCCCCTTCTCTCTCACAGAAGGGTATCTGGAGTACTTTTTTCAGTTTGGGGTTTCCCACCCCAAGGTAAAAACAAAAAAACAAAAAAAAATAGATATATTGGAACAAGTGCAGCAGAAAATCAAGATGATTACAGGGCTGAAACATAAGATGCAGAAAGGCTGAGAGAGCTGTCAGTTTTGAGAAGGATCAAACTATCTGCCATCTCAAACTAGCTACCAGAAGGCTACATAAGATAAGAGGGATCCATATTCCTCCTGGACGTGCACAATGATCAAGAGGCATAAGACACAAGCTGCAACAGGGAAGATATTATGAAGGAGAACAAAACCAAAAACAACAAACAGGAGCATATGCCTCCATCTTCAGGGATATCTCAAACTCAGTTGAAAAAAGCCCCAAGTAACATGAACTAGACTGATCCTTTACGAAGGTGAGTGGAGCAGACAACCTTCAGAGGTCCCCTCCAAACTACATTTCACAATTCAAGGGCATGTCACTAACATGTCTCCAGACATCCTCCACAGGAGTGATTTTTTTTCTGCATGCATAGTCTTCGCTCTATGTTACTACTTACTATTTTTCCTATGCTTGGAAGCTAGACCCTCTTTTACTTCTTTATTCCTGCAGTAAAACGTCTTTCATGACTCCATAACATCTTCTGTTATTTCAGTTCCTTCAATATCCATTCAGAATCAACATCATTTATAACTTCTATACAAACATCTGCCTAAAGCTTCAAATCTATACTGTTCTGTATTCCTTTTTCTAGTTGAAATTTCTCAATGGATTGTTTACATAAACATAATATTTCCTCTTCTGGATTAACACTGAAATACTTTTGCCCCATGAGCTAGTAATATTCGCCAACTGAACACTTGAGTACTTCAATCTGATTTGACTTAATTAGAATAAAATTCATTTAAAGCATCATTGAACATTCTGGTATCTGCTTCCACAACTAGATACCTCTTCTTACACAATGACTTCAATGAAAAGAGTGCATAAGCAGACCCTTCAAAAGAGTGAAAACCAGCTCATTCTTTGAATGCTATCATTTGGCTACAGAATCATTTTAAACTTTTTGTCTTTCTGGTTTTAGAGACAAAGCTTTAGAAACAGTCAAGGACTGTTCCCAGATTAAGTCTAGTAAACAGTTACCTGATTCTACTCTAGAAAGCATGGTGTTAACTCTCCCCAAGACCAAGATGTGACAAAAACTAGATGTCTCCAATTTCTTTGGCAAGTTTTATTACAATCAATAGGTTATTGTATAAGCTACAAACAAGCATCACTGCTCCCCATGGCCATGAGAACAAACAATACTTTGCTATCCTTCATACTAGAATTCATGCTGCTAATAAGAGACAGATGTCTGGTGCTGTCTGTATTTCTGCAAATTTCTGTAAACCACTCTTGAAAAAAATTTGCCATCCATGTTGCCCTTTAGACACCTACTTGCTGCGCTAAATAAAGTCTTTAGTGTCTTCACTTCCTTTGAAAATTAAGATGATGGCACACTCAGATCACCCATATGAGAAGAGAGAGACTTCAAAACTTAAAAAATTGATTAAGCAGTAAGCTCCACCTGTAAGAGAAAAAGTAAATTTGTCCCTGTCCGTGATAGTCTTTTAATCACACACACACCACCTCCATTTGGTGTTAAGAGTATATTTCACTGATTTTTCAACTGCAGGTAAGTGTCTTCTATTATGTTTGGTCAAAACAGTGTATCCAGTACATTCGGTTCAACTTTGAAAGGATGTTAATCTTCTTATCTTTAATGTCCTCGCTGTCTGTGGAAATTCACAATTCTCCTCTGTGCTATTAACGTTTGGTCTGAACACCATTTTGTCTCCCAAATTTTACCGTTTGATTACACATAGGAAACACTATTTCCTTCAACACCTTTTAAACCTTCCAACTTATTAATTCAAGGAACCTTGTTGGCAACTCTCCTACTATTAATAAGGCACCACAATTATCTTTTAGACTTGCTCTAATAGATTCAAGCAAAAAAGTCTGTGGTGTGTGAGGTTTTCTTGCCTTTTTATCTTTGCAGAACATTCTTAATCTTAAGTATCAACAGTAATAAAGTGTAGTACTCAACTCAGTAGAAATACCATTAGAGTATAAAAAGCCTGCTTTGACAAAAGCACAATAAAGTTCTTAGTTATTGTAAAAAAAAATAAAATAAAATATTGGATAATACACACCAAAGCATATTAAAAAGAATGGAGAAAGTTGAAAATTCCACACACTTGATTAAATAAAAATATAAAATTGAAATTTGTAATACGAACTGAAAATATAATAATGTCTTTTCAATTTCAAAAGGAATTAATCATTACACCTCTTTGGCTGACCCAAAGTACCAGATGTCCAATACCAATCAAAGGGGAGGAAGAAACATCAAGACAAACAGTGGAAATACAAGCATTTTATATATGGGGCAGAATAACCTAAACTACTAGCAAGATGACTTACTTACAGAAAGAGAGAAAAGTTTTAAAGCCAGGAATACATTCACATATTTTGCTCTACTACAAAGTTTTAAAAGATGAAGAAACTAAACAAAGATCTATGTTGCTATGGGTTTATAAAAAAATAAAAGATTTCAAAGACTCTCCTTCTTCACAGACACAGAACACATCAATTAACATATGTATTCTAAGGATAAACAGGATTTTCATTCTAGGTCACACAATTCCTGTCACCCTTTAAGTGAAATAGTTCAATATTACTGCTTTAACCAGTCTACAATTCTTCAAATTATCTTCACACAGTCCAATTAAAATCCACAAACTTTATGCTATATTCTGATTTTTTCATATGCATATTTAAGCCCCAAGAATTTTAAAGATATCTCTAAAAGCTGAAATTTAAAGCAATCAAGTACTTACCCCTTTTTTGACAACAAAAAGTAAGTTCTAATTTGCAAAGCATATCAGCATTCTCATACTTGTCCTCTTCTGCTTTAACCCAAAAACATGATTCTGTCATTTCCCGAGGTCTGATCTACAATTAAGAGATGAAATAAAATTTTATTAATTATTTTGATACTATGCAAAGACTGCTCTGTTGAGTCTAAAGCAAATTAAATACTCAAGAGCTCTGTAAAACATATTAAATTTACATAATACATTCACAATAAGCACAAATGGAGACCTGCAATGCCTCTTTCCACAGTCCAGGTTGGATAGATGCAAGACATTTGCTTGGAAACTGTACAGCTATCAGTACAGGGCAGTGACTGATCCAGTGTAAACAGTTAGCTAAAACAGAAGTCATAGGATCCAGGAAGCATGCTGGTATCAAGGTTGTATTATTCTAGACCAGAACTGACTCTGGCAAGCATCTCAGAACATCACATATACTTCGCTCAGATGATTCAGGAGTCAATGCAACACAGTTTTTAGAAAATAATGAAAACTAAAGGCAGTAAATATTCATATCTTGCCTAATTTTAACTAACATAACAATTGGTCTACATAAATTTTACTCCTGACAATCTATTTACCCTAAGCTCTACATAAGATTTTACATCAATCAGTACTACCTTGGACCAGTTGAGTCTTTTCATGGTAACCTCAGGTCTGAATTCTTTTTTAGGCTTCATTCCAAATGGCAAAGTACATGAAGGTGGAGACCACTGTGCTCCCAGCAGGCCTGCGAGAGGTGGTGGTGGAGGGTGACCACCACCAGCCAGAGAAACTCCCAAGCCATTCAAAAGTGGCGGAGGAGGAGGGGGAGGTGGTGGAATTGCTCCATTAGAAGGCAGTGGTGGAGGAGGCGGTGGCAGTGGAAGTAGACGTGACCCTGCAGCTTCCAGTGGAACAAAAGATGCATCTCCACATGATGATGGTAGAAAACCAGGTGGTAAGGAGCCATACTGATAAAGAAAATATTCATATTCAGCTTCACATCTTTATCAACAGAATGCCATAACAATCTTAGTTTACAGATAAAATCCAGCAAGCCAGTTGCAAGTTAGTGCCATTTTTAATTCCACAAGACCACCAAATATGAATTATAAGGAGGCAAATTTGCTTTTTATTTAATAATTTGAATTCTCAACAAATATTTTCTAATGTTGTAAACAACATTGTTTCCAATATTTTCTACAGAATTGAAAGCACAAAGTAATGATAAAAAAAATTACTTTAAGAAAATGCAGCTGTCTTACACATTGACTTCTTACTCTGTATCGGGAAGACACCTATACTATATCAAGATAGGCTTTTAGTACTTCAGTAAGTCTGAAAAAATATATTTATTTCCACTATTGGGAGAATTTCTTTCATAGGCTTTCAAACATTATTAAAAAGGTACCTGACAAAGATGACAAAGGAATTAATGAGAAATATTTATCTACTGGTGAAAGTATTAATCAACATTTCAACTAATAAATATGAGCTGAAACAATCTTTTTTTTACTAAATGGAGGGAAATACAACATGCAAAGGATTTAATATTTTTAAAAGGAAATAGCTAAATATCAATAAATACAAATGAATACACGCACAGCAGTAGTATTGGTTTAAATTTAAACAGACACACAACAATTCAGCTCTACTAATGAAAGAAATACATGAACAAATACCAAATACAACAAAAGAGTAAAGGACCAAGACCAGGAGAAAAACAGTCATTGAAGCTGGAAGTAGCCATGCTAAGTAGCAACTGATACGATATGGAAACCTAAGACTCCTCTTTAAGATGGTTTTTAGAGTAGTAAGTTGTAGTATCAATTACTTGATGGTCACAAATCATTACAAATTTTGCAATAACATTGGGATAAATGACAGTATGACAATTAAACATAATCATATGTTATGATTGCTGTCTGCATATGAAAAAAAATAATACAGTGAACAAAAGAGAAACAAGAGAGGAAACTTACTTCACTCACAAAAAGTTTTAAAGTATGCTTTCAAGATATTTTATCACCTTCCTACTTGTATGTCTTCCTGATGCTTTCTTTAGTTATTTTTAGACTGTGCTTCTTATTCCAGGAGTAAGACACACAAAAAATAAAATCACTTGGTCACTCAGTCTCCTTACACAGTTTTTACAGCTGAAGCAGTTAAAAGTTAACTCAAGTACTACTCTCAAAAACCTGCACTACTAATCTCCATCCCGTTTTAAAATATCTATGCTTGAAAATTGAAAAATTATCAGGAAAAGTTCTTATCCAGCCACAGGTTATTTCTTTCACTGCTGGATATCCATAGTATGGCTTTAGCAAAGCAAACTGTGTAGTGAATAATTCCCTGTGGAGAGATAAAGATCATAGTGATGAATGCTAATCTAAAAGCATAAGACTTATTACCCTATGTGGTTAATTACTTCAGAAATATATGACACTGAAAGCAAACCCAAATGAAACATAAGAAACTAGTTTAATTAACAGAGCTGAAGCACAAAAAGGATCATCTGGGAACCCAAACAGCTAATTACTGCCACATCACAATACTTAGTGTAAAACAGAAAAAAAGGAAACAGTCAATAATAATCAATACTAAGATTCTTTGAAAAAAAAAAAAAACCAAAACAACCTCAACTGCACTATCACAGTCTGCAAAAGATGCAAAATGAAGCCCCTTTCAAAAACAATACTTCATACACTCATTTAAAATCTTATACCTGTGACTTAAAAGCTTGCAATTCTGCTTCAAGTTCACTGATTCGTTCTTCTTTTTTTTGCAGTAGGGCCTGAGTTTCCTGATGAACTACAAAATCTTTCTCAAACTAAGAAAAGAAGAAAGTTGTTAATACTAGTCAGTTCTGTATAATTTCCTTCGATTCCAACATGTCCTTTTGTGTTTATTAAAGCTCACGTGCTAACAACGGTAAGGACACACAACTTTATCTGCTATTCTAAATTCCATGTACCTAGTAAGTGGACGTACCATCTCTATTACCACTACAAGTCTTTACTATATGAAATGGCACAGTATTATTGCATTTAAACTACAAGCAAAGTAGCTTAAAAATTTGATATATAGTAACACAGTCCATAGATACAAATGAGTCAACTCTTACTCTCACAGTTTATCTTGAGGAAACTGGTAACAGTTCAAATCAAGTATTCAGTTGATTTTTGAAAGACTCATACTTGAAACCTTAAACTAAATAGTAAAAAATACTTTTAATCTTTTCTTAAGCACTTTTCTCTGCTTCCTGGTCCACAAGAAGCATCCAAATTCCCACATAAACATAGAACTAATATTAACTTAAAAGATAGCAACTTTAAGTTAAAAACTATGCCATGTTCAGTTACACCATCCATGAAGCTATTAAGTAATCCCCAGTGTCCATCTTACGATCGCATAACTTGAAAATTACTTACTTTTCTAGAAAGTTCAGAAGCCCTCTCTTCACATTCTTCTAATCTTGCTTTGTCTACACAGATATCTTGAAAAATAAACAAATATACTTGCACATATATGGGCAACACAAGATTCTTAGTCACATGTACAACTTTAACTTGTTTTTTATAACATATAAAGAACTATGATACTGTAATCATTTCTAAATACAGTACTTACCTATTAAGTGGCTGAAGTCTATATCTAATCTTTTACGATACGTGAAATCTGGGTCTGTTCCACTTCGATGTAACACTATCTGGGATACACACTCTTCAATTAATTTGAAATACTGCGGACTAAAGACAAAGATGAGTTCTTTTACAGTTTATTTACTTTTAAATATGTACTTAAAACCTTGTTTATGGACACATTAAGGTCAAAAGGGGTAACGGGTTAAAACTTACACAGGGGAAGTTCTTTACTGTAAGAGTGAGGCACTGGAATGGGTTGCCCAGGGAGGTTGTGAATGCTCCATCCCTGGCAGTGTTCAAGGCCAGGTTGGACGAAGCCTTGGGTGGCATGGTTTAGTGTGACGTGTCCCTGCCCATGGCAAGGGGGTTGAAACTAGATGATCTTAAGGTCCTTTCCAACCCTAACTATTCTATGATTCTATGAAAAGTCCTGGGCTCACTTATTTCCACAGAAGTGTAGGTGCAAGCCCTAATTATAAGCTCTGCATCTCTCCCCTTACGGAAATACAAGAAGGAAGGACTCCCTCCTGCTTCTTCCCAGTAAAGAGAAGACTCTTCCTTCATATTGACCCCTTCTGGGTTTATGAATTTGCAGCTATGGATTCATTGCAGCCTTGCTTCAGTAAAAAGAATGCAATCACCTGGTTCTAAATTGCGTGGGTGTATGACAGCCGTGTCACTTGCTCAGAACATGAAAGGGTTGAATTCACAGCTTGAAGGTGGAAGAGGTCTAGCACTGGTGTACCCATGTCAGGCAAGGAATCTTAAACTTTAAGGGTACATCTATGCTAGACGTTGCCTGAAACACCAGGTTATGTAGAATGTTATGAAGAAAACAGATGGATTTCCTTCTCTGTATGCTTCGCATCTGGTTTCTCCAGTTTCCTCAAAAACTACATGAGCAGATTTTAGAAAGTATCTGTCAGCTTTAAATACCTAAGAGTTTCCTAACTATTTCCCTGTAATTTTTCTGACGAATTTTCCATGTTCACACTGACCTATAATGTATATTGAGAACACTCAATTCCCAACCAAAAGCTACTCTAAATTAAGGACATGTTCAGATTTTTGTATAAAGTGCACTTCCGTGCATACCTGGTTTTGATCTTTGACTCAAAGTCACCAGAAAATTATAATGCTACTACCATGATTTATAGCCAATTAAGAGACCTGACCTAATCCCTTATACTTGCAGTCAACAAGGTTCAGATATCAACACAAATAGTTTTCTACATTTACATATGAAATTGTATCCTAAGCAGAGGAAACACGAACATATAGATGGCAATCTTATTCAGAGCTGATACTATGGAACATAAATTCACATAGGAATAATTAGGAACTACAATCTGCACAGAAAAAGATAAAGCTGCATTTATCATTACATTTACAGAAGAAATCTTCTATTAATGGACTGAATGGCAACAAACCCCATAATTAACATTTAGCATAGTATTAAACATACCGTATAAAATAATCATTCCTTATCAGCAAAAGATGTTGGAGAATAGAAAGAAAATATCCTTCAGCATTAGTGTCCTTAACTGTATTCCACACCATGTTGTAAACATCATTTACTTCAGTAAAAGTGTTAAGGAGAATAATAGCAAGGAAAAAAAAAGAAAAAATCAGACAAATATTGACTGGTAACATTTTGTAAACAAATTATACCAGAATGTCCTTTATACACTTAATTTTGTTCATGTTTCTTTGCAGATATCAAAAGGATATTCTAGTTCAGATCTAATATCTTCTAAACGGTGAGAGAATTCAATCATGTCTTCTTCTTTATGCTCATTGAAGACTTTCAACTGAATATCTAATGCTTCATTTTTTATACATTTCAATTGCTGCAAAGAAGAAATAGTAGGAAGGCTTGCAGAATTAGCATTTCCATATGAGGTAAATAAACCTTATCTTTTTAGTATCTTCCATAAGTCTATGGTATTTTTAAGTTTAAAATTACAAGAAAATGAGTTAAACACTTAAAAAGTAAACATGGCTTCAGCCTGGCTTAACAAGTGTCTGCACAGCAGTCTGTCATATGTTCTAAATCAGAATGCTAAAATGCTGAGGAATCAACAAAGCTCAGAGAGCACACTTCACCTTTTAATTCCTGTTTTAACAGTGATTCTCATATCTAACTGTTCATGCTCAGAGTTAATAAAATGCCCTTGAGAACAATTTATTAGAACTTGGTCTCCCATTCTCCCTCTCAAGCTCAAATAGACTAATAATTTAAATAGTAATGCAAAGTGAGACTAGAAGACTCTTACTGGCAATATCTCTTTCAATCCACTACGCATAAATTCATTTCTGATGTGAAGCCTAAAATCCAAGTCATCAGGAGATGTAATGAGAGCATTGATGAGCTGCATGCAAGCTACCTGTAACAGAGGAAATATTAAACTATTTTATTTCTTAGATTTCAATATGCATCACAGTCAAAAAGATTACAAACTACTAATTACATCATGTCAAATTAACAATCTACTGTAATCTTATAATTAAGACAGTTAAATTTCTTGTCAGCTACCTGAGCTATAAATAGCAAACACTGCTTTACAAATTTCCATAAAAATGAAAGTCCCTCACTCCGCTTAATTTTATACAAACAGCAAGTTCCTTTTAGTAAATGAACTTTAGCATATAGCTAATACCTTGATAAGTATAATTCTCAACATATAAAAATCAATGTAAACATACATAAGGTCTGAAGTGATGTTTCCTTACTATCATTTTTTTCCTCACTGCAAGACAGTCTTTATATTTGATGTTAGCAAAGAGTATAAAAAATTAACAAAAATATTAAGAAAATAAACAAATTCTAAGGCTAGAAACTGCAAAGCAATGAAATTCTGTTCCTGTTCTTTCTTCGTATTCTTTACATTGAGATCAATTAGATCATGGCCTAATAAGTAACAGTAAAAAACCCTACACATTAACAAGGAATAGATACATAGGGTGTGTTTTGCTTCAGAAAGGTATTGGCACTACATTACCAACAGTCAGTTTTAAATGAGATTAGTTAAATAGGAATATAGATAATAGAACCACAACCTTGACCATTCTGTCTTAAATATGTTCCCTTGAGACAGATCTTTCAGATTTCAAACTTCTTTAAAGTTATAAATAAGAAACAATCCTATTATCCTTCTCTGAACAACCCACTTGGAAAGCTGCTAAATTTATAGCAATCTGGGGCTTTAACTGTCACAGTGGCTTCTTCATCTTTGTAATGCCTGTCAGAACAACTGTTATGACACTTCTCCTCCCCGGAGTCTGTTATTTCCCTAATTTTATGCAATTTGATTCTACATGCATGTCTACAGCATTTTAAAAAACCTAAAGGAAAATATGACTTAATTAACTTGCCATTTATTTTTTTTCAAATCCTAGTAAAACCTTTGTATTACTCCTGGAGCCTGTTTCTGTATAGGTATGGTTTCTAAGAGTAACTCTAATATTTCTTTATTACTACTGAAGCATCATCCTACACTAGGTAACAAAAAGTGGTGCTAACACCCAAAAAAGGAAACCACAAATACCAAAATATAAATAAAAAGAACATACTTAGGCTTACCTATATCTGCACACAACAACAAAAATTTAAACCCACCAAAAATGCTCAGTCCACTCATAAAAAGTGAACTGAATAAAACCAATCTTAACAGCACCTAATAAGAAATTAGGACTCTACTGTTGCACAGACAAGTATTTCTGGAAACTGAAAAAGCTCTTCATATTCAATATTTAACTGTCATGTCCTTTACATTCTTATTTAGAATACATGTCCTTGTAGCTGTTATTTTTGCTAGTAACAGGCTAACATGCTTCCATACTCATCAGGCTTTATCGAGACTAGGCTCGCCTGCCTGTAGCTTTGTTTTGACTTATTTAGATGCATCAGGACTTGTCTCATAACAGAATGACTATCATCCTACTAGCTTTAGATTTTGCTTAGCCTTGTACAAGTTTGTGGCATAAAGTCTACTCTTTCATAACAGTTTCCTGTAACTAGCAGCTAGCCATATGGCCCTAAGTAAAATGCAGCATAGAAGAGTAGAAACATGCGATGTCTTGTGTTAGCACTACTGACAGTAGTTTGATTAGACCATTAAGACTTCATTTAGACTAACAACAAATTCTTGCCTCGGTCTAGAAGGTGTATTCTCTAGGCCCTCAACCTGCACAAGTTGCAGGGTCACAATGTGGCAGAGAGTGTGGATGCAACAAATAGTAGAAAATGCAGGCAAGCAAAACAGTTAAATTTTAGTGTAACAATACCTTACAGAATATATTCTCTTATTACCTAAATACAGGCTGTGTTCTTTATTTTTAAACCTTTTCATACTTGTTTTAGTATGGGTACACTTTACCAAACCATCCATTTTATCAGTATTTTTATTTTTCTACAGTAGCCATGATGAACATTTTGACTTCATCTAATTTTGATCTTTTTTTAGTTGAAACCTATTATACACCATCATCAATTTACCTCTTTGGAGTGCTTTCACTCAATTCCATTTTCTTGATTGAATTACCTCTGTCATTCAAATCCAGTAATTCAGCACATTGACAGATGCCATAAACACCTGTACTACTGTCAACATCAGTGAGGCATTTCAATAACTGTAGACTCCACTGGACAACATTATCGTACAGCCAATAATAAGGTACAGTACTGCAAGGTTACATTTACGTTTCAAATAAAGTCAAGCTCCATGTTGTTTGATTACAACAGAATTGAAACCTTTGGCATTGTCATCAGCAGTTTAAAACACAGTATATTCTCATGCAAACCTTTACGTGAATGGACTGCTAAGCAAGGAATCAGCATTTATCACACTTGATTTAAATTATCAATAAGGCAATCAGAGACTGAACAAAGTATGCTACTGTGAAAATCCTGATCAAAAGCAATCTAGTTTTATCTTTGAGACAGCAATGTAATTTTGATGAAAGGATGTCTACAGATGTAATTACTGCCAAATAAATAAAAAAAAAGGCATTTTCTTTTAATTTTCCAAATCAACAAGGTACACGTACAGATTTGCTACTGAAATAGCACAGAGTGAAGATATGACAATGAAAAGAAACACATCAGTAAAAAGTACTGCTGTTCCAGTAGTTTAGTCGAATTTGATCACATGGGAATTGAACTTCAGGTTATAAGCAGAATTTACTTTTGATTTCCTGGAATAAACAAGACAAAGACTGCTGCATTATGTTAACAATCTATTTCTATAATACAAAGACAAAGTAATAGTGAAAGTTCCAAAACAAAAGTCAACAAAAAGCGTGGTGAGAAAAGTTTATCCATGAAGCAAACACAGATCTAAGCAAGGCACTGTGTATGTATCTACCTTTGAAAAATTTGCTTTATGAAAACTTATGAAACCATAATTCAGTATCCAGCAGTTAGTATATAATATTTAAACTATACAATTGCAGTAATTTCAAATTATTCATTCACTTAGAAGTAAAGTGCAGCAAGATAGTTCTGTCCAGTGAACCTAAAAATCTATAAGGAAAACAACATGTTAAATTCTATCAAAAGGAGGAAACAAGCTTGTGAGCAGTTTATTAAACTGCAGTTTGGAAAGTTAGATTTTGGGGAAACATGTAAAAACCAAGAGGGGAAAAAAAAAAACCAAAACAACTCAAACTTGGTGAACAGCATTAGAGTAGCTTTTAAGAAAATTACTTTAATCAATAACCCAGGGAAGATTTAAGAACAAAGAAACTTTTTGCAATCCTAAACTCTGCAGTTGGAATAACAATATATTAATATTATCCTATGTTTGACAGTAAGTCAACGTTAAAAAAGTAGCAAGCTTAGTTCAACTAGTGTCTATGTAACAAACAGGAATAAACTTGGAGTTCTCAAGAGTTTGTCAAGACAACACAGTTCAAGCCTGAGATACCTACATTTACATGCCTCTATGTAGACAGATACCTATATGTAGTTATATGCATAGCTAAACTCCCATTCTTGTTAATCACAACTAGATTCTTCTTTAAAGCTTTTCTTTAAGATCTATGTTCTAAAATATCCTCTTTAAAATACACATGAAGTGACCAGGGCACTCTAAGATCGACTGTCTTTACTGACTAGGGACCCAAGTTATCAGCTTAAACATGAACACATATTGTAAAGAGTACCATTATGGTTGCTGCAATGTGTCCCATCTGGGTTACAAATGCCAGCCATTTGTTCCTGATCTACAAAGTGTCACGCTTTACTTCCATCTGTGTCTATTTGTTTAGTGAGAATGTCTCAATCACAAAAAGGCCTCAGAAAAACAAAGTCTGTCATGAGTTTTGTTGTGGTTTTTTTTGTTTGGTTTTGTTTTTTGTTTAGCTACAGAGGTACATGACTTTTGCTTAAAAATACCAGATTAGGATCTTATTACCTTGAAGTAGTGCTAAATCTGTTTAACAGCATGCTTAAAAACTCTGAAGAAACAGACTGGAATTTAGAATCATTAAATTACCAGAAAGTACTACTCACTTCAGATCACTAATCAAACCACAAGTTTGATTCTTACTTCCAGAGTGCAGCTACTAATCAAAGAAATGCCGTAGAAACAATGGATATAGTAATTTCTTCCACAGAAAGAGACCATCCATTCTCTAGTGATGCTAATAAAGGGTCACACCAAAGAAAACAGGGTCCAAAGAGTTAAAAAAAAAAAAAAAAGGAAGAAAGGAAGCTACAGGTGAGTAATTCTTTTCAAGTGATGGCCTCTATGTGCATTCATACTACACACAATTCCAAGGAGTATCCACTCATAATGGCTCATGTTCAGTGTTCCTAACTGAGGAAAAAACTGAAGAACAATTATCTCAAATGTAGCATCATTCCTTGACAAATCTCAAAGCACATAACACTTAAAATACCTGTGACACCTCAGTTGACAGCTCTATAAATGTCAACTCTTGGGACACAGAGCAATCAGTCATTGCTTGCACTCCAGATGAGTGGGCCCTAACTGCATTCTTTTACACTCAATTACCTTGGATAAGATTCTGTAAACAGACTGACAGCCTTTTGAATCTTCAGCCACGGACATAAGATAGGAAAGCTGTGTTCACATCAAAAAAGATGTTCCATCTTCAATACAAGAAGAGGTACTACTGCTGAGGTAGCATAACTATAGTAATGATAGGTAAATTAGCTTCCTAAGAATTCACAAGTCATTGTGAGCAAACATGCTGGGCAAATGGTTTATATCTAAAAGCAATTCATTAAAAGTTGTAGATGATGTAGGTGGAGGTTCTTGTCAGTCTGCACTTGAGAATATCCATGAAGAAATGAAATTATTTTCAGCTGTAACAGCAAAAGGCATATGATAATACACAGCTCTCTCGTGTACCTTCTAAA